TACCTATTACCGTAAATAAGACTACACCTTGATTTCACAATCGGAATGCTCGAACTACCTATTACCGTAAATAAGACTAGACCTTGATTTCACAATCGGAATGCTCGTACTACCTATTACCGTAAATAAGACTAGACCTTGATTTCACAATCGGAATGCTCCAACTACCTATTACCGTAAATAAGACTAGACCTTGATTTCACAATCGGAATGCTCGAACTACCTATTACCGTAAATAAGACTAGACCTTGATTTCACAATCGGAATGCTCGAACTACCTATTACCGTAAATAAGACTAGACCTTGATTTCACAATCGGAATGCTCGAACTACCTATTACCGTAAAAAAGACTAGACCTTGATTCACAATCGGAATGCTCGAACTACCTATTACCGTAAAAAAGATTAGACCTTGATTCACAATCGGAATGCTCGAACTACCTATTACAGTAAATAAGACTAGATCTTGATTTCACAATCGGAATGCTCGAACTACCTATTGCCGTAAATAAGACTAGACCTTGATTCACAATCGGAATGCTCGAACTACATATTACCGTAAATAAGACTAGACCTTGATTCACAATCGGAATGCTCGAACTGCTTATTACCGTAAATAAGACTAGACCTTGATTCACAATCGGAATGCTCGAACTACCTATTACCGTAAATAAGACTAGACCTTGATTCACAATCGGAATGCTCGAACTGCTTATTACCGTAAATAAGACTAGACCTTGATTCACAATCGGAATGCTCGAACTACCTATTACCGTAAATAAGACTAGACCTTGATTCACAATCGGAATGCTCCAACTACCTATTACCGTAAATAAGACTAGACCTTGATTCACAATCGGAATGCTCAAACTGCTTATTACCGTAAATAAGACTAGACCTTGATTCACAATCGGAATGCTCGAACAGCCTATTACCGTAAATAAGACTAGACCTTGATTTCACAATCGGAATGGTCGAACTACCTATTACCGTAAATAAGACTAGATTTTGATTTCACAATCGGAATGCTCGAACTACCTATTACAGTAAATAAGACTAGATTTTGATTTCACAATCGGAATGCTCGAACTACCTATTACAGTAAATAAGACTAGATCTTGATTTCACAATCGGAATGCTCGAACTACCTATTACAGTAAATAAGACTAGATCTTGATTTCACAATCGGAATGCTCGAACTACCTATTACAGTAAATAAGACTAGACCTTGATTCACAATCGGAATGCTCGAACTGCTTATTACCGTAAATAAGACTAGACATTGATTCACAATCGGAATGCACGAACTGCCTATTACAGTAAATAAGACTAGACCTTGAAATCACACTTACGATACCAGACCTCCTGTTAAAATAATCAGGAATTTAAATGATCCAACGTGTACTTTGTCTAAGATCTTTTGACTGTCACAGTTACTATCAGAATAACACGGGTGAGTTTACTTTCTATTTATGTATCAACTTCATTTTAGGAAGGATAATCACCAAGTATGGTATGATCTAATTTGATCAATTATAACTTTGATCTTAAGAAATAAAATATATCTATTCATTATAAAGTCTATTAAAAAACAGCGAAAATGACAATTTGATTCTTTGTCTTTGGATTTCAAAATAATGGATCTACTGTTGATGGTTTCGTCTTGTAGCGGTTTGATTTATTTCATCATCCTGTTTTCAGTTGAAAATTTGATTCTTTAAAGCAAAATATTGGATCTAAATTTTTTTTTAAAAAATCGAGTCAATCAATCTCCACATTTATTGAACAACAATCTTGATGCAGATTAATAGTTCTGACATCAGAAAGGAGAGTATTGATATAAGTCCCGTATGAAATTCTTATAAATTTTTTCTTTTACTAGTTTTTAATCACAATCCACGGAAAGAGAAGGGGGTTTAACTAATATTTTTGTACCTTTATAAAGCGTTGTTGTAATATTGTATGAGATAGCGAAAAGTGCTACCCATCAGACAATTCGAAGCATCAAAGCATCCGAAATTCCAATTAACATTATGAAGAGCACATTTATATATTTTCTCGCGTGTCAAACAAGATATTCTTGGTCTAGTCTTTGTATCTGAGTTGATTAGATACGAAGCTCGGGTTTCAATGCATCGCAAGCGACCCAAACGCACCGACACGAGGGAGTAATACATCAAACAATGGATCTTTGATGATTGTAGCGAATAATAATAATAATAATAATAATAATAATAATAATAATAATAATAATAATAATAATAATAATAATAATAATAATAATAATAATAAAAATAATAATAATAATAATAATAATAATAATAATACCAACGACAATAATAATATAAATGTTATGTTCTATTGGGCCAGTATTAATAATAATAATAATAATAATAATAATAATAATAATAATAATAATAATAATAATAATAATAATAATACCAACGACAATAATAATATAAATGTTATGTTCTATTGGGCCAGTATTATTATTATTATTATTATTATTATTATTATTATTATTATTATTATTATTATTATTATTATTATTATTATTGCTGTTGTTGTTTTTGTTGTTGCTTTTATTGTTGTTGCTCTTTCTGTTGCTGCTGCTGATGATGCTGCTGCTGATGATGATTGTGTTTTTGTAGTAGAACCTTTGTCGTGGTTAAGTCGTGAATGCCATGAGTTTTTAATTGCCTGGTTGTTATATACCATAGCATTTGAATTATTCTGGTGATTTTAATGGTATTAAATGGATTGTGGTGAGTTAGATAGAATTATGGTGAATACGAAATTCTGATGGTAGGATTGGTCTTTCATGCTTACAAGAGGAATTTACATATTTGGAACAATGTTTTTAAATTATCTCGCTGATGCTCAATAGAACAAGAAATATTGTTGAAATAATCATAAAAATGTTTATAAGGGATACATACCGACCTCAATATCATGTTATCCGAGAGGTGTATGAATTATAGGTGGTGGTAACTAGTGTAATACCGGATATTTCCTCGACGCATATGAATTTTAGTTATTTTAAAAAATCTTATTTAAAACCCCCACAATAAATACCGAATACCTGAATAACATTAGCAATGCAATATATTTACGTCAACATCATCATTATCATCATCATTATCATCATCATTATCAGCAGCATCATCATCATCAAGTCCTTAACCCAAGAGGTTGTTGGGTACCACAGCTGACTTTACAACCAATTCTCTCCATCTTTCCCTGTTTTCTACTGCCCTTTGGGAATCTCCAAATCCCATGCCTGTCCACTCCTTAATGTTGTCTTCCAATCTCCTTTTCTGTCTGCCTCTTCTTCTTCACCCTCGCTCTGTGCTTTGCAAAATTGTTTTTGCCAGTTCATGAGATCTTGGTTCACATATTAATAGCTTGGAAAAGCTGTTTGTTAGGAGTCCAACACGTTTCCTATATTCTGCGAGAAATAAAATGACAGATATGACAGATTGCATCTATGTTGGACTGCAAGAAATGTTCGATTGTTCGAGCGCACAGGAAGATTTTAAACTCTTACTATCTCGCATAGCTTCATAACAACACTTGCACTGAAAGTGCAAAGAGAACGTTTCCATCCCGCTGGTAAAATGTGAAATTGTCATCAAGTAGCTGACGTAGCAAAATAAAAGCACAAAGCAGAGGCAGATGTTTATTTTCTCCCCCAAGGTTTCCAAGAGGAGTATCATATTGCTCCGAATCACAATACAAAATAATTACAAATTTCAAGCAGCATAAATGACAATAAAATGGTGACAAAAATCTGCGCCTGAGAGATATGCTTTTAAGAGTTACTTCCCGTATTAGTAGTATAGATATTGCCGATTCTTGTGTTGCTGGCACTAACAGAGTTGTTTTGATTTTTGTTTGTAAATTTAAAAAAAAAATATTTGATTTAACCTTATTTTATTAAAACGAATATCAGAAATGGAACCATCACTTTAAAGCATATTTTGACACAAAATACGTATTTAAATAAATCATGTGCCATGGAAATGAAAATGGAAATAAAGGCGGTAGATGAGTAAATTTGCATCTTTTAATAACTAAGAATCATATATATGCAAAGCAGGCCACAAAAGATTATATATATATATATATATATATATATATATATATATATATATATATATATATATATATATATATATATGTATATGTATATGTATATATGGTCTCGTGCGAGTGTGTCTGCCACGCACGAGCTTGTATAACACCGACTCAGTGCCATCAGTTTTTGGGATGCGTGCTTAGTCGTGACGGTATATGGGCTGGTTCGTGATAGTATTGTTTGCATTAAACTAATATATATATATATATATATATATATATATATATATAAATATATAAATATATATATATATATATATATATATATATTTATATATATATATATATATATATATATATATATATATATATATATATATATATATATATATATATATATATATATATATATATATATATAGAGAGAGAGAGAGAGAGAGAGAGAGAGAGAGAGAGAGAGAGAGAGAGAGAGAGAGAGAGTTTAATCCAAACAATACTATATATGAGATGCGAGTGTGTTGCACGTCTAAGATGAAAGAAACACGACACTTACTCTACTTGCTAACATTTATAAAGAGTAACACATAATCGATTTTACACACTTTAAAGGAGCACACACATCAATCAGGATTGTTGAAAAGATATATAGCAAAACATATTGTGTTTGTATGTGTGTGTGTGTGTGTGTGTGTGTGTGTGTGTGATTGAGATTTCTAACGTAGCTTTAATAATATTTCAATTACATCGCTACGATGTCTGCAGTTTATAATTATGTTTAGCACTGGGGTATCATGCCGCACACATGTTGCATGATGTCCCATCCAGTTACATGATCCTGACATGAGGCCGACCAGTCCTCACACTAACCTCTAAATGATAAGCGCCAAGCGAGGCAGTTAGTACCTTTTTTAAAGTCTTTATTATGACTTAGCCAGGGATCGAACCGGATACCTCCCACATCTGAGGCGGACGCTAAACCACTAGGCCACCAAGCGGTCTAATTTACCATATAATTACTCCGCAGAAGAGAAACACTGAACAGAAAAGGTGGGACTTTAGAAAAAGTTAACAAAAGTCAGATATACTTTAGAAGAAAAGGAGTAATGAATAAGCATACATTTAATTTCAGCAACATAATAAGGAAAAGGCTAAAATATTCATTAGAAATGTCTGTAGCAATTAAGATTTGCATAAATATTTCAATACTACTGAACCATATATGACACCAAATATAATTCCTGATATTCGGCAATTTGGTTCTATAAATATTAATTTAGACTTAATGATGCAGCTTATGAGAATGTCTATTCAACAGGTAAAATAAAACTGAGTACGCACAATTTTACCATTGAACAAGGGATACGAATATGATAAACAGAAATGAAATGGATGGTGTCATAGAACATTAATTTGACGTTGCACATATCAAAGTTTCTCTGTAATGTTGTTTCTAGTAATTTTGGGAGTAGCGTATTGTATTAAAAGCGCCCATAATGAGCATCGTACAACTGTAATAGTGTTTTGGATAAAACAGACAATTCTTGCACCAAATGTACAGCTACTATGCAAACAACGAAGCTCATTTTGTCGGGCGTTTTTGTACATCAGGTCAGTTCATAAATATTCCAGAGTACATAGTACTTTCAAGTGCTTTGCAAATAGATGTATAGGGCCCTTTTGCCCACGTGCACCTCGCCTCTGAAGACTATGGTAATGTGTGTCTATGACAGATTATCAGTATTCAGTCTATTAGATTTAGTGCGAACAATGATATAATGTATTAAATTACTCTAAAATGTGTTACATTATGAGATTACCTCAAATAAACTTTTATCCAACATATCTTTATATTAAAACACAGTTGATTTGAGTTGATTATTTCGAACAATAAACTGGCCGTCTGCAACGAAAAAAAGGTATGGATTTTGTTATTATCAACATTTTATTTTCTATTGGCTTGAAAACGAATAAAGTGTTGCATGTTAGCTAATACTGAACGATCTTGTGTACTTGTCAAATCAAGCCAGATGCAATGATTGTCGGCAAACAAAATCCCCACGTACGCTATAAACTGTTGTATCAATTGAAGACCTTGAAGATAAACAATATCTGGAACACTTTCCCCGATGTAGGACTTCTGACTATTCTTTGAAGATTTTTTTTTTTACTTTAGTGTTTGTTTTGTAAAAATACATTTGGAGGAAGTGTCTAAAAACCAAAAATAACTCAATGTATTGATTAACAATTGGCAGGTAAAATTATATTTGTTATCAGACAGTCGATATAAATTCTTCAATTCATGACGTACCAATTGTACACGGGCATTATTGTTTACAAAATGATGATTCAATTAACAGCAAAAATAGAGCTTGATGCGGCATGGTTAATTATGCTGATATTTGTTTGTTTTGCTCGAAAGTTTAATATTGATCCAGTGTGAAAGAGGTAGCCAACGGGTCATGTTCAGACTTTAAGGTCTTCTAAAGCATTTATCAACGTATATTTGATGGTAGCAAACATTTCATGTCTGTGTGTCGAGAGCACACCTTTAGCAATCATTGCCTTAATGTGACTTTCGATTTGTAACGACGTGTTAACAAATTGGACAGGTGAAAGGAATTATGTTTATTAGGTAGTCTATTGTGAACTAAATAAAACTAAAATAATTAACTTCATCTTTTCTTTAATGTCCAATGTTTGTTGGTGGGAATATTGACATACTGACCTCGAAAATGGATAGCCTTGACAAAACTCAAAGGTGTTCGTAATGATGATCAAGAGAGATTCTATAATATTCTGTGCCTCTCTTGACGGAAACGTATTTGATGGGATAATACTATATCAGCAATAATCAAGTAATTGTCCAAAAATGTTGCAATATATTCAAAAAAAGCTTTAGAAGATCGCAACAAGAAAACTGAATGATTCAAGATGGCTTCCTTCATAATGAAATCTTTAGCAGTATTGTGTATGTTATTAGTCCCATGAAACGTCATCGCTTAATACAAAGCGGCTCATGGAATAAAAATTCTAATAAAGCAAGTTTGTAACAAATGCATCAAGAACAAGGGAGGATAGTGGATTTCTTATTTTCATTCTTGATCAAAAGTGTTACAAAATCCTCTAGAAAATGTAGCGGGTTGGCAATTCTGCTTTGCACGTATATCTTCCGTACTATCGTTCTTTGTGTGTATATGATAAACTATTTCTAAAAGTAAACCATAGTAGCTACTACAGCGTTTAGTAAAAATTTAATTATTGTTTGCTCATTTGGTTATTAGGCTTGGTTTGCTCTCCGCGTAACTTTTGTTGGTGGTTTCTAAAATTCTATGTGCACTTCGAACGTCCAATAATATGATTGTGTCGAATATGCGCAGCAGAGACACTTCGAGTACAATAACTTCACGGTAGAAATATCATCCCTGGATGTTGATCTTTGAAAAAAAACTAAATGAAAATCCTGTGCACAGAGTAGCATTGTTATTACTGCACTTCTTTTTCAACAGAACTTTTACTCACTTTGGTTCTTTTTTACGTCTTTTGAGTTTCTTGTCTTATTGTAACAAGTTGTTTATTCAACATTCTGTGTATCGCTCTTTGTTACCTCATCACTGAGATTGAGTTAAAGGTCAGTATTAACAGGTTTCGGCAAACTTGTTTCAAAACTATACGTCACATTTTTATAACTATGCCATCCGGTAACAAAATGACAGCGTCATCGCCATTACATAGTTCAGTGTACATTTTGAATCTTTAACATGATATGTTTATCTCCTGTAACCCTGAGCTGCTAAACTTAACAGCTGAAATAACTTTGTACCACTTTCTAATATTGTCATAATCGACTGTAATAAATTATTGTATATGCGCACCTAAGATTCAAAGTTCATACTTTCTAATGCTTAGATTTAACCAGTCATGCAGTCATCTGTCAGTTTAAGTAGTTAAAACACAGACATATCAGACTTAAGCTGTCTTGTTCAAGTCTTAAATACAACGAAGAGTGTACACTTTCAAATCATAAAAACTATAATTTTGAGTTTTAATTCAAGTTTGTGTTTCATTATCAACCTATTCAAAATGATGTTACAACATATAATTTGATGTAATTGTAAGAATGTATTAATAGTGATGTGAAAACTCACAAAAAATGCTTGTCAAAATCTCAAACAACGCGATCACATATCTCAACTTCGTTACATAAAATGATGCCAAAAAAGGAAATTACATAATTTTCAATATTTAAAGAATGTTGTACTTTTAAAGAATCGGCAAGTTCATCATTAGATCGCGGATGACATTTAATAGCTTCATTAGCGATTATCGGATTTGGGGTACTGACTGAAAATCTTAACTGTAATCCTCCCCAATTTTACAACTGAGCGACAATTCCCATAAAACTGCCACTTTATAACTAAAGGGATTTTGGATGATTGCGATTGACACAATGTACTGTGATATAGATACACTAAAATCTGTCTCTCGAGAACAAAAAGATTGATTTTTCAATTAGAAAGAGTCCTATGGGGTCAAATATCTCATCTACTCTTTTAAATCCCGTGTAATTTGATGTTACGCCCAGAAAAACTCATAGAAACATCAAACTGACAAATCGATATCCTTAATGCAACTGAATTTGAATGTATATTGTAAATACTATCCATAACATTTTGTATGCATTTTTGTATGCATTGTGGAACATGGTCATGCTGAGATATAAACTGTGTAACAAAAGACTCTATTAAGAGATAAAAATCTCATCTGTTATTCAACAAAGACGTACATCATTAACAGAAGAAATGAGGTGGACCATCAATGTTACCGACGCTTTTATAAATGAAGCGGAACAAAGATTGCGAGATGAAATCGTTAAAAGAAACTAGGTACGCACGAAATACAAATGTGTGTTTGTTGTTGTTGTTATAGGGTTCAACGCCATTTGTCAGCACAAGATAAGCTATACTTGGCAGCCAGTAATAATGATGGAGGAAAAACCTTGGAAAACCCTGGGAAGAACCACTGACCCCACGAGAAGCTACTGGCAGGCTTTCTCACTTACCCACGTTAGCCGAGTCTGGACTCGAACTCACGCAAAGGTGAGATGGCAGTGATCCGTATCCGCAACGGTCAGTGCTTTAGACCACTGGCTCGCTCGGGGCCCCTGTGCGTTTATTATTGTGGACAACATAGGGACACCAATGGTGATGTCACTATTATAGGCACACCAATCTGAATTGTTGCTGGAGCAATATCAGTAGTAACAAGTAGCGACTGGTGGCGCTGGTAAAATAGTCTCTATACTGTTAAATCAGCGAGCACGTATTTATTCAGAAATTCTCGCTGCTTCGTAAAACTGAACACAATTATCAAACTGTACTCAATGGCTATTGAAGATAATCCATTGATACGGCAGAGTTTGAAATGGAGATTGTTGAACGAAATATCACTGGCGAATACGATCTCAAATACTGAATTTAGAAGCCAGCGACCAAGAAAATGTAAATGATTTTCAGGCATTGAAAATGGAGCAAACACTTGCAAGCCAATATCGATCTATTTCTAACCTCGCAAATAATGTATTGATCTGACTTGGGTATCTCGTGGTAACTTAAGTGCAATCGCGCGCGGCTTACCGCGGGCTCATGCGCGTAAATATTATACTCGCGTGTAATTTGAGGGTAAACTCAATGGGTATAGAAGACTCTGACCAAAATCAGCAATCGAAATCTAAAAGCCCATAATGTTCTTATCAGTTGTTTTAATGCAGTTTGTTTCAGTGTGCTTTGTGTACGCATGAAAAATGAAAAAGATATGTACTCATATGGTTCCACATCCTAAGTTGAATGTTCGCCCATTAAGGATTTGTAACTAGCCTAAACTTTCTAAAGAACTGAACTGTTAGGAATTCTTTTTTGAGCAAAGCCAAACATGTGCCACGTTATCTTAAATTGTTTAATTAAAAAACTCCGTTGTTGCAATGAAATAAAAAATGACATTG